GATTTACATCCTCTAGGGAGACTTACTGAAAGTGTTTTCTACACTACAGCTCTTTTATCAGTTTATGTTGGCTTAATGGAATTTATTATTCATATTAAAATCTCCTACACTTTGAGAGCCCTTGCCCTCCTGCTACACATACAAACTTTTCGAGCAGACGACAATTGCAGAACTGGATAGGCTTCTAACAGGTCTGTTGTTACTATGGAATGCCAGGTAACTATAGTAATGGTACCAGCTTCTACTAAAACTTACTAATTTCATACTAAATAACTATTATTAGTACCAATTTACTAGCAGACAGCTTCTGATCTGACTTTCAATGATTATATTAGTTCAAATAACCAAACACAGGAGTGCCAGACGGAAAGCTGGGATAGCTGATATTCCAAGGCAGTAGCAGTTGTATAGCTTTGTATAATTGTTGAAAAACCAATCTAGAGGGGGTGGGGGGAATAAATTTTATATAAAGGGCTTAAATCCTGCTTTCATTCTTTCAATATTATTACATTTTTACAATGAAAGAGAAGCATATTTCCACTGAAATATTGTAATTGGGCCTTTTGAGGCAGGGAGGGGGTGGGGGGAGGAAGGACACAAGTGTTATAGTTTCTGTTCACATTCTGGGTCAAGGCGGGGAGGGGGGGGGATGGCTACTCCCTCCTCTACCTTCAGTTCTTGCTCATCTGGCCCAATAGAAATCGATTGGTCTAGGTACTGATAACTCTATATTAGTGAAATACCAGACAAAACATTACATTGAAGCAATATTAAAGAGAAAGGTTCCTATCGTACCTTAGTCTCAGAAATAGGCATTTTTTAGCCTTGCTAATCAGTAAAATTGTTCACAGCTCACAGCAGAAATTTGAGCCTTCAAATTAATGTGTGTCCAGAATTCTCTGCATTTGAAATCTAAAATAGTGAATCTGTCCCTTAAATATAAATTACTCTTTCTATCAGACATTCAGGTACTTATTAATGGTTATTGGTAAAACCTGGTGGCAGTGGCATAGTTCTGTAAGAAGCTATTTTGATTCTCGTCTGCCAGAATCCTCCTCAGGGTCAGAAAATTCTAATGCCACACCCAGTGCTTCCAGGAATCGGTACGGTCTCTGCTTTCAACCATCATCAATCAGACGGCATCAAACCAGTATGGCTGTTTACTGTTTCTATTATCTTTTATAAAATATCAATATATTTTCAGGTGGCTTTAGTCTGTTTTATTTATCTTTCTATTAATGTTTTACCAATGTCTAACCTTTACAGCTTCTAGGTTGGCTTAAAAATAACATTACCATAAAAATGTCAAAATTCGATAATTAACAAATCCTCACATATAGAGGAAAAATACTAGATGTACAGGTAGAGCTAAGTCTGTTGTATACAGGTAGAAAAAATACTAGATGTACAGGTAGAGCTAAGTCTGTTGTATACAGGTAGAAAAAATACTAGATTTACAGGTAGAGCTAAGTCTGTTGTACACAGGTAGAAAAAATACTAGATGTACAGGTAGAGCTAAGTCTGTTGTATACAGATAGAAAAAATACTAGATGTACAGGTAGAGCTAAGTCTGTTGTATACAGGTAGAAAAAATACTAGATGTACAGGTAGAGCTAAGTCTGTTGTATACAGGTAGAAAAAATACTAGATGTACAGGTAGAGCTAAGTCTGTTGTACACAGGTAGAAAAAATACTAGATGTACAGGTAGAGCTAAGTCTATTGTATACAGGTAGAAAAAATACTAGATGTACAGGTAGAGCTAAGTCTGTTGTACACAGGTAGAAAAAATACTAGATGTACAGGTAGAGCTAAGTCTGTTGTATACAGGTAGAAAAAATACTAGATGTACAGGTAGAGCTAAGTCTGTTGTATACAGGTAGAAAAAATACTAGATGTACAGGTAGAGCTAAGTCTGTTGTACACAGGTAGAAAAAATACTAGATGTACAGGTAGAGCTAAGTCTGTTGTATACAGGTAGAAAAAAT